CAACAGCATGGTTAAATTCACATATGGTAAGTAAAATGAGCCAAACAAATAAAAGTACATACATATGATACACTTTTATCAATTCTATAGAATAAAAACTAAAGTTACATAAAGAATCAGTAGTTCACTGTGAATATTGTAGAAGAAGGGAAAGTCTAGACAGGAGGAATTACAGAACAAGAGGAAATTTTGAGCATAATTGACTAGTTATCTATGCTAATAATAATGATGTCTGTGACAATATTTGTACAATTGATCACTTCATGTGAAGATTTTTTTTTTTAGCTTAACGTCATTAAAGATAGTACTAACTGTAACTTGTGTAATTTGGTAGAAACGGAGTCAGACAGAGATAAAATACATAAAACGTCAGAGACTCTTGAATATTCGTAGGAATGAGCCTGCACTTCTCTACATTTTTATGGAAACACTACAATACAGCAAAATAATGACATCATTTTATGAAGTGAAGGGGGTTTATTAAACCACTCCAGGCATGTTATATTAGTTTGTTTTCCCACTGCTACAAAGAACTACCTGAATTTGGGTAATTTATAAAGAAAATAGGTTATTGACTCATAGTTCTGCATGGCTGGAGAGGCCTCAGGAAGCTTGCAATCGAGGCAGACTGTGAAGGGGAAACAGAGACGGCTCACATGGCAGCAGGAGAAGTGGGGAGAGCTACCGCACACTTTACATTTTCAGATCTCCTGAGACCTCAATCGCTACCATGAAAACAGCATGGAGGAGCCACCCCATGATCCAGTCACCTCTCACCAGGTCCCTCCCTGGACTTGTGGAGATTCCAATTCAAGATCAGATTTGGGTGGGAACACAGAGCCAAACCATATCTCATGTCCAGCTCGTCCCGGAGTTGGCTCAGGGATCAGGTGTGTCCTGTTAATAGGAGCTGGGACACCAAGCTCCCAGCCCCAGTTGTAGCTGACGTCATGCAAAGGCCAAGATATGTCAACTGAGATTTAGTGTGGATGTGATACCTGATGGTGACACACCCTCAGACCAAGTGGATATGGAAGGGACAATTATCTCCACACTAGAGGTGTCTGCTGAGAGCAGGCAGTTCTCTCAGGAAAGTCCACAATGGCTTGATAGAGCAGGGAAGGAGACGGGCTCAGGGTTTTTACCATGGTTTGGCGGTGCGGGGAGACGGAGTGTTTCCACTCACAGAAAGGGGTTGGTAGAGTAGGAAACTCCCACTCACATCAAATAAGGCAGCTCCTGTGATTCTGACTGATATTCACCTTGTGTGTAAAAAAGGAGGTAATGGAGGAATGAGCCTTAAGCTATTAGCAGTCACACACCGATATGCAGTGTGACAAGTTATTCTATGTAGCAACTATAAAAATAACGAATAAGAAAAGAGATAAGGGCTCAATATGATGGACAATACCAAGGTCTACAGAAAATGAGATGAGTGTTTATAAGTCAAAGCAAATAGTAATGAGAAGCAGGAGGAAGGTGTGGGGAATTAGACAGGGGTCCCGGTCCAATGACTTGGGTGGAAACGTTTTACTATTAAGGGTTATCAGTTTAGTCTGTAGGTCTTAGGTCAGCTATCTGTTTTAAAACATCAGAAACACCAGAGGATCTTTGAGGATGCTCAGTTTAACGTCTCCTATTTTATTAGCCTTGCAATCCTGTGAAAAAAATTTTTTTTTTTTTTTTGAGATGGACTTTCGCTCTTGTTGCCTAGGCTGGAGTGAAATGGCACTATCTTGGCTCACCGCAACTTCCAACTCCCGGGTTCAAGTGATACTCCTGCCTCAGCCTCCCAATAGCTGATATTACAGGCATGCACAACCACACCCAGCTAATTTTGTATTTTCAGTAGAGACAGGGTTTCTCACAGTTGGTCAGGCTGGTCTCAGACTCTGGACCTCAGGTGCCCCCCCTGCCTTGGCCTCCTAAAGTGCTGGGATTACAGGTGTGAGCCACTGCGCCAGGCCAAAAATATTATTGATTCTTTTTTGTTTTTAGAGACGGAGTCTCTCTCTATTGCACGTTTGAAGTGCAGTTGTGTGATAACAGCTCACTATAGTCGTGAAATCTTGGCTCACAGAGTATGTTCGTATGTATGGTGCAGGTGTGTGTCTGTGTGTGCTTACCCGGCATGGGGTTCTCTGATTTTTGGGTCTGTGGTTAGGTGTTTCACATTCTTAAGATATTTTTCTTAAAAATATATCTTAAGATATAAGTATATCTTAAGGTATCATTATTTCTTAAGATATTTTTCTCTGTGTTTCTAACTTCTATTTCTGAAATTTGAAATATATCTACACTATACTTTTTGATATTAGTTCTTATATTTCTTCACTCATTTTCCCTTTGAAATTCATTTTGTGTAATTTCCAGTAATGGAGTTTAAATTCCTGATTTCATTTATAAGCTGAGCAAATTCTAAGCTGAGCGTACCCAAGGTATATTCAGTTTTATACTGAATCGCTTTTGATAATTTTATGAATTTCCGTTTGATTCTTTCTTAGTATTTCTGTCTGTCAGTTACCTATCTAATCTTGCATTGTGTCCACATTTTCTTTCAGAAACTTTTAACAAATTAAATTTAATTACTTTAAATATCCTACTTAATAAGATAGTTCTAGTATTGTGTCATTTACAAATATCAATTCTGATGATTTTTCCATTATGACTTTGGTGTTTTTCATTGATGTATGTTAATATTTTTGTTGATAGCCAGCCATATTTGGACCCTTGATATTGACTTATTATTTTATTTTGTGCATTTCTGCCTGTATTTTACCACACCCTATCTTTGCTGGGCCTTGGTTGTGAAGATGTCTGTGCATCTCTTCAGAGCTATATTTGACATTTCCTTTTGCAATGGCTGTAGCAGTTGAAGTGTGTTCTTCTATGTCCACCAGAGACTTCATATCCTCTAGTGAGACCTTGTTTTTCATGCCTGCTTGGCTTTGAATATTCACCTCATTCCATTTTACAAAGAATCTCTTTCACGTTCCTAGGGTGAATTAAAGTGTTATATTTAACTGCCAATTGTGAAATTAGTGGAAGGCATTAGACTAAAGGAAGAGTCTCTGACCTCTCTTGGGGCCATATTTCTAGAAAATCATTGTGATCCTGAGTCTGAGTGTGACCTTCCGAGTTTTCCCGACCCTCCTCCAAATGGGGTGCTGGTCTGTGTGTTCTTGCCTCTTCCCTGGGGTAGAGTTCTCCTGTTTTCCCCGGTTGTCCCCTCCCACTGCTCTAATCCTCCCTGTTGGTGTCTCCATCTTCCCGATCTGCTGCCATGACCTGCAGATTAAGGCTCTGATTCCATAAGAAAGTGAAGGAGCTGCTTCTCAGTAGATCTTTGATGGGGACCTCTGTTCCCATATCAACTCGTGAGGGGTTGCTTCAGTGCCCTAGGACACTGATTTTCATGGCCTGCTCCTGCAGGGTAATACCTTAGTTTTGTAGTGGGAATCAGAGAGCTGGGTCTGGATGCGTTTCAGAAGTGTGGGCTCTCATTCTCTCCCAGACAGTCACTTTGGGAAAGACAGATTTTTGTGACTGTAAAGGATTTAAGGGAATCAGACAACTCCTCAGTATGTTGTCCCTTAGAATTTCTCACTACAACACGCTTCACATACTCGACTTCAAGCAATCCAGTGTATATTTGTGCTCCATCTTGTAATGGCCTACGTTGAATAAGACAGACTTTGCCTCAGGGAATTTCATATCTTGGTTTTATTACTCTACACAAGAACTTGCCTCTCCCTAGATTTCATTTTTCTTTTGTTTTAAACCTTCAATTATCTGAAGCATTAAAAAACCTTGCAAACTTCCATATTTTCTATTTATCTGTTACTGCTGATGTTATTGTTTCAAAAATAAATACATATATATTTTTTTATTTATGTACATTTTTAAGCTGAGCAGCATACTTTTTAAGTAAAACCTAGAATAATAAAAGAATCCAAACATTTTTCAACTGCCCCCCCAAAAAAACAAATTATGGTAAATGTGTTCACTGGAATACTACTCAACACTTACAATAAATATATTTCTGGCACACAGAACAACAAAGAAAAATATCTAAATGTTTATGATGAGCAAAATAAGCCAGACAAATAAGAATAGACACCATGTTACTCCATTTATGTAATTTCTTTTAAATGAAAAAGAATCTAAGGTAATATCCAGAAGATCAGTAGTTACCTGGGAAAAGGGTAGACGAAAGGAAGGGGAAAGGAGGAGACATACAGAAGAACAAGAGAAAATGTTGAGGGAAACTCACTTGTCCACTTTGGTAATGATGACACATCATGTTTATCAATTGCACACTTTAAATATGTGAAGCTATTATCTGCCAAGTAACACTCACAAAATTTATTGTAAACAGAAAAATGAAAAATTAGACAAAGATAGGGTGGTATAAAGACAGAAAATATATATTAAATGTCAGAAATGTCTGAGAATTTAACTCCTGAATCCTAGTTCCCTCTTTATTTTTAGGTGAATGGTAGAGTGCAACAAAATCACACGTATTCTCAGTACAGGAAATGGATTCCACAAAGCATGCGAGGTATGTCCAATTCTTACCAAGATTTGGTTCAGGGAGTAACAGTGACGAGGAATAACGGGCTCAGATACCGGGGCTCAGTCATCCCAGACGTGGGCTCCTAGACACACACTTAGCCCCTCCTCCATGTGTGGGTTTACTTCCACGTATGTAAATGGAGAAACCATTGACTCCTACAGAACACGATTTACACAAATATATAAAAAATAAAATAGTGCAAAATATTGATCACAACAAAATTTCCTAATAAGACAGCGTGCTTTCCAAATACCATCATTGTCACCCAACTCCTGAGGGGCCTGTCATTTTATCTGGGGTCTGCCGTCTCCTCAGGGCTCCCACCCCAGAGCTCTCTATGTAGTAGGAGATATGCAAATAGGACCCTCCCTCTGCTGTTGAAAACCAGTCAAATCCTGACCCTGCAGCTCTGGGAGAGGAGCCACAGCCCCGGGATTCCCAGCTGTCTCCACTTGGTCATGAACACTGAACACAAAAGACGCACCATGGAGTTTGTGCTGACTTTGGTTTTCCTTGTTGCTATTTTAAAAGGTGATTTATGGAGAATGAGAGATATTGAGTGTGATTGGACATAAGTGAGAGAAACAGGGGCTATGTGTGGTAGTTTCTGACCAGGATGTCTCTGTTTTTGCAGGTGTCCAGTGTGAAGTACAGCTGGTAGAGTCTGGGGGAGGCTTGGTAAAGCCTGGGGGCGGTCTCTGAGACTCTCTTGTGTAGCCTCTGGGTTCACCTTCAGTAGCTATGCTATGCACTGGGTCCGCCAGGCTCCAGGAAAGGGTCTGGAGTGGGTCTCAGTTATTAGTACAAGTGGTGGTACCACATACTACGCAGACTCTGTGAAGGGCCGATTCACCATCTCCAGAGACAACGCCAAGAGCTCACTGTTTCTGCAAATGAACAGCCTGAGAGCCGAGGACATGGCTGTGTATTACTGTACAAGAGACATAGTGAGGAGAAGTCAGTGTGAGCCCAGACACAAACCTCCCTGCAGGGTACCTGGGACAACCAGGGAACGCCTGGGACACTCTGCACGGGGCTGTCTCCAGGGGCAAGTGCAGGTGGTGCAAGGGCTGGTTTCCCGTCACGGTCTGGAGCTGCTTTGCTACCAAGTTACCCCAGGGAATTTCTCTAGATTTACAATTCTGTACTAACATTTGGTGTTGTCTCTGACTGGGAAACGTCCCCCCAACCTTGTATCATTTTTTTTTTCTTTTTGTAACAGGAGGACACATCCACACCCTGCAGAAGCCTGAGCGTCACTTTGGGGGCAGAGATGACCCTGCCTTGATCACACTGGTCAGTGTCCTGAGGAGCACACCCCACAGGGGACCCCGATGACTCCAGTAATGGCTCTGCCTCAAAACCACTGAAGAGTCCTTCCTTTCATTAGAGTAGACCACAGCACCTGGGCTTCAGCACAAGACGTCCCATAGATGTCACAAAGCAGCAGCTTGACACCTGACCCGTGTGATGTTCCTGCCTTTAGAGACTGGGAGAGGGGTGTGTTCTCAAGGTCAACACACTCTTTGTGGATTTTGAAACAGAACACCTGCTTTTACTTTATTTCATTTGAAGATAAATGAACAAATGTGCATCTGCAAATGATTGCAATTTTCACGTTTATTCCAGTTCCATTATTTCTTAGTTCTGCGTGATGTCCTGCTACAGGATTGTGTTTTCTATAGGTATTTTTCAACAAACCAAGAAAATGCCTTTTCCACTTTCACTGGTTTTTCTCCATGTGCAGAGACCTTGAGTAGAGCATGTCTGACTGCATTTGTCTGTTTTCACACTGCTGATAAAGACTTACCAGAGAATGGGCAATTTACAACAGAAAGAGTTGTTTTGGACTTACAGTTTCACGTGGCTGGAAAGGCCTCACAATCACAGTGAAAGGTGAAAGGCACATCTGACATGGCAGCAGACGAGAGAAGAGAGCTTGTGCTGGGGTCTCCCCTTTTTAAAACTGTCAGATCTCATGAGACTCATTCACTATTATGAGAACAGTGCAGGAGAGACCCACCCCCATAATTCAGTCACCTCCCACTGGGCCCCTCCCACAACACTGGGAATCATGGGAGTTTCACTTCCATATGAGACTTGAATGGGGACACAACCAAACCATATCGTTCCACCCCATGTCCCCTCCCAAACCTCATGTCCTCACATTTCGAAACCAATCATGCCTTCCCAGCAGCTCCCCAAAGTCCAAACTCATTTCGTCATTAACTCAGAAGTCCACAGTACAACCTTTCATCTGAGACAAGGCAAGTCCCTTCCACTTATGAGCCTGTAAATTCAAAAGCAAGTTACAGGCATTGGGTGAACATACCCATTCCAAGTGACAGACATTGGCCATAACAAAGAGGCCCCACGCAAGTCCAAAATCCAGCAGGGCAGTCAAATCATAAAGCTCCGCAATGATCACCTACAACTCCACTTCTCACATCCGGGACATGTTGATTCAACAGATGGGTCCCGATGGTCTTGGGCAGCTCCACCCCTGTGGATTTACAGGGTATGGCATCCCTCCTGGCTGCTTTCACAGGCTGGTGTTGAGTGTCTGTGGCTTTTCCAGGCACATAGTGCAAGCTGTCAGTGGATCTACCATTCTGGGATCTGGAGGATGGCAGCCCTTTTCTCACAGCTCCACTAGACAGTGCCCCAGTAGAGACTCTGTATGGGAGCTCTGGCCCTATATTTCCCTTCCTCACTGCCCTAGCAGAGGTTCTCCGTGAGTGCTCCACCGCTGCAGCAAACTTATGACTGGACATCCAGGTGTTTTCATGCGTCTTCTGAAATCTAGGCAGAGGTTCTCAAACCCCAATTCTTAACACTCTTTCCATAAGGGTTCACTTCTTTTGGCCTGTTCATTACTGGTATTTTTCACAGGAATCTCACTTGAATCTTTCCTCTTTTGCTTTTTGTCTCCATGACAATGTTGAGAAGTTTTACCTCCAGCAACATAAGATGATCTAGTGACCTGACCCATTTGTGGCAAACAATATCTACAAATTCAGAAGCTCTTTGTTTTTCTTTCCGCGAATTATAATTCTTTCTGTTCTGTGTATGAGCATATCCTAGCAACCCTGTACACACCCACATAGAGGTCTACAAGCTTATGAATTATTCTCTGTAAATAAAAACTTATCTCAATTTCCCTCAATGTTCATAATTCTCCTGAGGGTGAGGAAGGTCCTTCTCGACCTGTTCAAACTAAATGCCCAGGGACCATCTGGTAGGTCAGGAGCTCACCTGGCTCTGGTGTGGGGTCTGTCTCTTTCCCTCTGTTGTCCCATCGGTAAGCCCAGTTGTTCAGGTTCTAATAAGACAGCCCAGGTTTGTCCTGATTTCAAAACACATCAAACTTCTGAAGACTCTCCTGTTATCCACATCCAAGGAGATAGATTGTTTATTACATAATTCACCAAACTAATGTCAAATGCAGAAGTTGCAATACAGCACATCCTAGAGTGTGTTCATGCAAATCAATGGAGGATAAAGTCTTTCAGAGACAGATGGACCTGAAATGATAAATATGTGGGTAAGGACTCTGGGCTTGATAAATATGTGGCTGTTTCACAAGTGTGACCTGTCAGGGAAGGACCAGAGTTTCTTGTGCTCTAGAGGAGAGGGGTCACAGAGTTCCTCTCTGGTTTCCAGGAAAGGGAATCGCACTAATCTTCATGATCTTCATGAGACTGTCCTCCAGTGCTGACCTGTTATAGAGTTTTTGTCTGAAGTTATCACTGCAATCCAGAATCTATATATTTTTAATCAGAATTGTTTAGAGACCAGGCCACATCTTCAAGGTCACACACTGAGAAGAATGGACACATGACCCACTACCTTCTCCTAAGATCTCAGACAGAATCCCAAATACCAAAAGGTCACAGAAGGACAGCTCTCAGGTGCTTTTATAAATGACCCACTTCCAGGGACAGTGAGCTTCCCTCTAATCATAATGGATGTTCTGAACTACAGTAAACATTGGATGGATCCAGGATTCTTTGAAGTCACTGTCATTATTACATTCAGCAGTTGTTTCAATGTGTCTGAAGTAGTAAATGACCATTTAAATGACCTGGAAGTGTGGTTGGTTTTATATAAATATTTAAGGGTAGAACAGTTGACCCTATTCCAAAATCTGTCCCTGATCCATGATCACATTCATCTCCCAGATCGGCTCCTTCAGCACTTTTCCTACCTGGAAGAAGAGGACTCTGGGCTTGGAGAGGGGAAGCCCCAGGAAGAGACATGAGTTCTCAGAGGGCAAAGTCAGCATCCTACTCCCAGGGTGAGCCCAAAAGACAGGGTCCTCCATCCTCTTTTTACACCTCTCCATACAAAGGCACCACCCACATGCAAATCCTCACTTGAGCACGCACAGGAAACCACCACACTTTTTCTTAAATTCAGGGTCCAGCTCACATGGGAAATGCTCTCTGAGAGTCAAAGTCATGGAGCCCTCCTGTGCAAGAACATGAAGCACCTGTGGTTTTCTTCCTCCTCCTGAGTGGCAGCTCCCAGATGTGAGGTGTCTCGGGGATGCAGACATGGCAGTATGGGGAGACTGCCTCTGATCCCAGGAGCTGCTGTGGGTCTCTCTGTTCACAGGGAGTCCTGTCCCAGGTGCAGCATAGAGTCGGGCCCAGGACTGGGTGAGCCTTCAGGAGACCCTGTCCCTCACCTGCGCTGTCTCTGGATACACTCCATCAGCAGTGGTTACTACTGGGGCTGGATGCTTCCAGCCCCAGGAAAGGAGCTGGAGTGGTTGGGTATATCCATGGTAGTAGTGGGAACACCTACTACAACCCCCTCCCTCAGAGAGTCAGTCACCATTTCAAAGACACGTCCAACAACCAGTTCTCCCTGAAGCTGAGCTCTGTGACCGCCGCGGACACGGCTGTGTGCAATGAGATACACAGTGAGGGGAGGTGAGTGTGAGCCCAGACACAAACCTCCCTGCAGGGAGGCGGAGGGGAAGCCGAGGCGCAGAGTGCCACTCAGAGACCAGCAGGGGCGCGCCCAGGGCCCTGAAACAGGGGAGGCCGGGTCAGGAGCAGGTGCAGGGAGGGCGGGGCTTCCTCATCTGTTCAGTGCTCTCCCTCCTCACCAGCACCTCAGCTGTCCCCAGGGCTCCTCTTTCTTTGATATCTGTGGTTCTGCTTCCTCACATTCTTCTGCCAGGAAAAGAGCAGGAAGACAAATTTCTACTTATAGTTGAAGTTTTCACCAGTTACTAGGAACTTACCCACACAGAAGTTCCTGCATGGTCATTATAACTTATTGTTTAAAATATATATATATTCTAATGGTTCTCACCATATATTGATTTGTGTCATCAATTGAATTATTCCCTCTTTGAAACTCATATGCTGAAGCCTTAAATTCAATGGATCTCTATTGGAATTTTAATGATACAATTAAGGTTAAATGTGGTCATAAGTGTAAGACCTAACGCAACGGGCGTGTTGTATTATAAGAAGAGGAAGGCACACCAGAGACCTCTCACTTTTCACGTGCACGCAGAGAAGAGGCCATGTGGGCGTAGTGTATTAGAAGGTGGCCAGCACAGAAGCCAGGAAGAAGCCGCACCAAGACCAAACCTGCCCAGCACCTTGATCTTCAACATTCAGACTTCAAAATTTTAAGCAAATCAATATTTGTTGTTTAAGCCACCCACTCTGTGTTGTCTTCTTATGAAGACCCTGACAGACCAACTACCACATAACACTGTTAAGCTGTCCCCTGGATGGAGAATCAGCCCCTTGAGACTGGGCACATCTCTCAGATTTCTACATAAAGTAGGCAAAAAATAGTAGCTGTGATATAAAAACTTGTCATGTCCCTGTTGGCCAGTTTCTGGGCAAAGTGTTTTAAAAAAAGAAGCCCCTTAGGGCTTTGTCACAAAAGTTGTCTTTTATCTTTTATTACGACCTAACTAATGGACAATGGGTACCAGCTGGATGGAGACTGACCACTGACTATCTTCTGCTGTCTCCTTAGTATGCCACAGAAAACCACATCAACATTACTCTATGTCTATAACTTTCTAAATTTGCACTGAATCTATTGCTAAATGAAGAGCTACATGAGATCTGATTTTTGTTCCTTCTTCCCAGTCTTCCTCAATTACCAAGGGCAGAAGAGACTTTCAATGAAATTTGGCTGTCAATACCCCCAACACGCATCACTTTTTAAGGTCCAGGAACTTTATTTGGGGGATGGTGAAACACACTTTTAAATGAAAAGCCCCAGCACATACAACAACTGAAGGAATGGCCACTGTGCACCTGAAGGCTAGTGGGAGTAGATGGTAAAGGTCCCTTCCTATCAAGGTGTTCCTGGATATTGTGATGGTTGGATGCCTCGCCATATGGAATTAAGGACTGGACTGAGGTGAGAACAAAGAGCCATATCCCACAGGAAAACAAAACAAGAAAAAAACAGATGGGCATCCGTGAAGACCGTTAATTAAATTTGTTGGGCTTAAGATGAAATTTTTTTCCAAAGTTTTTAATGTTCTTAGCTAAATATGAATCTTTTCAATGAACTGAGAATTAAAAAGGAAAAGGAGTTAGAAGTTGAGTGGAAAAGTCACCAAGAGAGCAGAAAAGAAAATTCACACAAAACTGTCACATGGCAGAGCCAGAATGGAGCTGATGCAGCTATGTCATTATTCTGCAGACCTAGTTGGACTCTTTGAGTATTTAAAAGGCAGGCCCAACTTTTGAAGAACTCCTTTAGTTTTTGCTTCTCTGGGAAAGGTCTTACCTATCCTTTGTTTTAAAAATTACATGGTAAAAGGATTTCTTGGTTGGCAGAGTTTTTGTTTTTCAGTCTTTTCCCCCAGCAATTTGAATACAGTCATGGGCCACCTAACAATGTTTCAGTCAACAATAGACCACATATATGTTTGTGGCCACATAACTTTGTGATACCATATTCTCACTAATGATGTTCTATATTTAGATGTGTTTAGATAGAGAGATACTTACCACGGTGTCTCAGTTCCCTGCAGTGTTGATTGCAGTAACACCCTGTACACGTTAGTTGTCTGGGAACACTGTGCTATTCCACATAGCCTGTGTGTAGTTGCACATTCCCTGTAGGTTTGTGTAAGTTCTCCCTATGATGCTTACACAATGATGACACTGACTAGAAACATGTTTCCCAGAAATAATCTCTATCACTGAACCGCATTATTGAATATAATTCCTCTCATTCTGGACTGAAAACCTTATGCTGAAATCTGCTAAATCTGCTCTTTTCTTTCTGTTTTCAAAAACTTTCTTTTAACAATGTGGTTCAAACTATCTCAGATCTTTCTCATTTGTTACCTTACTTAAAATTTATAGAGCTTCTTGGATGTGGATGAATATTTGCTTTTCCAGATTTAGAAAGTTTCTTCTTATTACTTCTTTGAAAAATCTTTCACACATCTCTCTCTCTCTCTCTCTCTCTCCCCACCCCAACAAACACACACACACACCCCCTCTTCCTTCACTACCCCTTTTGTATGCAAAAATAAGACTATTTTTGCGTAACTCCTCAACGCATAATTTAGTTTTCAATCTGCTTCCTGACTCATAAGTCTTTAACGCTATTTTATTTTTTTCATTGAAATTTTTCTTCTCTGTCTCTACTATTTCAAATGATCTTTCTTTGGAGTTTACTATTTTACTATATTACTTGGTCTAGTCTGGTCTAAAATCTTCTATTAAAATTTTTTTGGCTGACTTATTGTGTTAACTTCAGCATCAATAGTTTTGTTTAGACATCTTCTAAATGTTTTATCTCTATTAAAATTCTTGCATTGTTCTTGCATGCTGCCACTAGCTCATCGAACATGTTTCTAACATTTACTTAAAGTTTTCTGCCAGGTAAACCATATGCTTCCTTTTCATTGACGTTGGTTTCTGGACCTTTGTGTTTGTGCTTCTGTTTGGACTATGTTCCCCTGCTTCTTCATTTTCCTTGACTGTCTTTGTTGCTATCTGTTCATTATAACAAAAGCCATCATACACTCTTCCAAGACAAGGCTCATAGAGATCACCCTCACCAGTCAGCCCAGAGAGTACTTTTGGGTCACTCAAACTTTCAAAGTATTCCGACCTCTGTCTGTTCTTAGTGACTCCAAGTTTAGAGGATGACTGATTCTGCCAGGTAGGGAAGTAGAAACTATTTACTCAGGCAGCCCGTGGAAAGTTGGGCCCCTGGACAAAGTTTTATTATTGATGTATGATTCATCAAAACAATGTTAGTTCAAGCTTCCCTCAACCAGTCATTAAACATTGAAATTTTATCACTTCTTATTTGGATCTGGGGTTTATTACTGGGATATTTAGCTAAAATCACAAACTAATTTAAATCTGCCTATTTGGCAAAATGATCTGCTGCTGAATTTCCATTTTACAATGTTCTCTCTTTTTGCATTTAAATCTAAATCTGTTTTAGACATGAATCAGAATGTGGAAAAATGTCTTAAAGTTCCTCAATTTATTTAATTTAATGGGGTTTCCAGAAGATGTGAAAATCTCCTTTGTTTATCAAACACCTGACTGTTAGTCCAATACTTTTCTCTTTAATTTTTCTCCTCTCATTATCTATAATAGCAAGAAATGAAGATACACCATCGACAGTTTGCTTAGACATCCCACCACCTGATTCTAACTTTTTGTCATACTAATTCTAACTTCATCCAATGTAGCATAACTAAGATATAAATTCTATAACAAGGTACGCATAGTTTCCAGTTCTAATACCACGTTTGTGACAGAAACAAAGCAGGTGTGCTCTCTGCGGGAATGGTCATCTGAGGTCTGAGGCGAGGGTGCACAGTCTTATCATATTTGGGGTTTGGGCAACAACAGTGATAACAATTCTGCTCATCACTGGCTCTTACCGGAAAGTTTACAAGTAAAGTTACTGCTGTTATTTGATTTTAACACCTAGTTAGAATGAAGCTCAGAGGAAGAGGTCACATCCTAGGTCACACAGTGAGGAGGAATGGAGCTGTGCTCTGCTCTCCACACTACGCAGAAGATCCCAGTGCGGCCGGGATTCCACTGACGTGGCATCTGGAGGGCAGTTCTCAGGGGATGGTCTTAGCGCACCTGCTTCCTGGGGCAGGGCGCTTCCTTCTCTCAGTTGTGCACTTGCTCCTTCTGCCAGCTCTGAAGTGACCACTTGCATTGCCATGAATTATTGCTGTTCTCTCCACCTTACTATGGCAAAAGTATATTTATTAAATTTTCAGTTCATTTTCTCTGAAGCACACTGCGTTAGCAAGGAACCATCCATTCCTTAACCTCCCACACAACCAAAGATTCCTGAAATCAGAGCTGATATGATGTACTTATAGGTAGATCTCACAGTCCAAGGAGGTGGCACTTGGTCTTCAAGTTTCATCCAATTTCTGGGAAGCCAAGGACTCTTCATCTCCTCCTCCCTGCTCTGCAGCTCACCTGAGAACAGCTTTCTCATTGGAATATCATCTGTTTTGGGAATAAAAGTCCCTGCTTTGGATTTGGGGTCTGGTGCACCTACTGGATCAGCAGGACTGGAATGCTTTCCAGAACACAACATCACCTGAGACATGTCCAGTCACACTGTTTTAGTTTCACAATTTCAGCTTCCTCAGAAGCAAATTAAAAGTAGGGCTTTTCACTTAAGCGTTGTGCAGCATGTCCTTTTCTGTTTCCTTGCCTGTTCATTTATGTCAGACCAGGTGCCACATCTGCTGTAATCAGATTAGAATCCTGCCTCCAGTTAACACATGAAGAGGACCTTTGGTTGTACTTTTGGTCTTTGCTCCAAAATGTAAAGATTACAAAAGTCATCACCTCATTCTTACGTCAAGAGGCGTCTGCACAATCTGGTCTTCGGTACCTTTGGGAATTCATCAAAGGGAATGAGAATTCCAATCAAAATTGCCCACTCCCAAAACGGGAGAGACAGGGTATGTCAGAATGGCAGTTGACACTTGCTTTACTAGACAGAAGCTGCAGAAGAATGCACACATACACACACACAAACACACACAAATGTGTACATATATACATACATATATACATGCATACATATATATGTACATAAATACATATATATACACACACATACATACATATATATACATATATATATATATATATTTAAAAGCTGTTGAGGCACTTACATGGTAAGCACTAGACGTCTGAAAGACAGATGTGGACTACGGTGAAGTGACAGTTCCAGAGGGGCCAGAACACTCCTCAGTCTTCTGGACTTTCCCTCCGAAACCTCAGATTAGAAAAAAAAAATCCAAATATGTTTCCTATGCGTTCAGAAGTGGGGGAAGTTATAATTACTGAAAACTGTACCAAGAGCCTTCTCCAAAAGATCCTACAGGGAACAACTTTTTCCAACACCTTGTCCTATGTGAGAAGAAAGACAAATCTGCCATTCAGATCCCTCCCCATTCTTCATGATTATGAAGATGTAAGTAAATAGTGCATAGACAGGTAAGATGTAAGCAAATAGTCCAAGTAAGATGTAAGCAAATAGTCCAGGTAAGATGTAAAACAATAGTCAGGTAAGATGTAAGCCGTCCAGGTAAATGAGTCCAGGTAAGATGTAAGATAATCCAGGTAAGATGTAAGAAAATAGTCCAGGGACACTGAAACCACAAAAGGCAGTAAGATGAAGAGTTGAGCTTTCCCCTGGAGAAGCCTGGTCAAGGTCACAGCCACTGCAGAAACTTCACTGCAAGGCAAGGGAGAGGCTGGGCTGAGGGGCACTGAGGCCACCAAGCGCACAGGTTCAACCCCAGAGCAGGTGTATAGAGAAGGATGGGAGGAAGTTTCCTCTCAGGTATCTTCCTTTGTCAACAACAACAAAAACTATGTGTTCAACAAGTTGCTGATGTGCCTCTAAATATCCTGTTACATCAGAACCACTCATATAATTTAAGGCAACGAAAACTATTTTTTAAAGTGGGTTTCCAGGACTACAAATATCTTAATAGTGATGATATAAAGGATAGGAATAGTTTTACTAATTGAATGAATTACAGAATTGTGGGAGCCA